CTGCCGACGACCCGGTACGGCGCCTCTGCAGTTTGTATGAGGCCCTGCGCGTCTGCCCGCAAAACGCCGCGTATCTCCGAGCCACCCCCAAGGATTATCAGATCCCGTCCCTCTCCAAAAGGGCAGCCTCCGGCAAACCCCACCCTGAGGTAGGCACCCACCATCCACGGCGCGTGTGCCCCTGTGGCTACCGTGTTAGTGCCTGGGCCTGTCTTTTGACAGCTTGCGAAGCGACCTGATGGAACTGAGAGACACCAAACGCCCAACCCCGCGAGCCGCCTGCGCTAGAGCTCGGAACCAAGAGCGAAGGAGGCCCGCCCCCCAGTCCCCAGTCCACAGTCCACAGTCCCAGTCCCAGTCCCAGTCCCAGTTCACAGTCCCAGGCGGCGCCAAATTCCGAAGCTCCGCGCCCGTATCCTCGGCGCTGACCGTGGGCCGGGCGCTCATTGGGCGCGCACCGCGCGGCGCGGGTGGTGGTGCCATCTTGCCCGTGCATATCGTGCGAGTCTGCGACGTGCGATGACGTCCTGGGCAGTTACTCCGAGCGAAGCAGCCCCCCCTTGGGCCCCTTGGGCGAGGGGGAAACTCCGTAGGTATGAGTGCGTCGTTGGCTACTGGGTGAGCTCATCTTGTCGGTGAGGAGGCATAGAAGCAGGCAGGCATTGCCCCCTTCCGTCGTATTCGAATCTACTGCGATACTCGCGCTCCACAGCATGTATACCAGAATCCGCGAACAAAATCCAGGCACGACACGCAGGCTCTCACTTGATGGTTCCGTTGGATACGGGCTTCGTACTGCAATAGCTTCTTAAGTCGGGCTCTGTACGCAGAGCTTCGTCATCTACGTACGTGCCGACCCTACCAACCCGACAAGACAACAAGGCAAAACGTCCGAGGCACACGATCCAAGAAAAGCATAGAGTTTACGATACTCGCCGCCCTTGCATCCCCGTTCACACACGTACTCCGTACTCCGTACATCCATCCATCCATACACGCACACAATTACCCGTCGTTGGCTCGCGGGCCCCATCGTCAGCCACCCACACGCGCCGCATGAAGCAACCACCACCACCACCACCACGACGGAGCTTCTCCCCCTCAATCACATGCAAACCCAAGAAAGACCAGACCGCTGCTGCTTTCGTCGTCGTAAAAAAGGCCCCCCTACAGTACATGCAAGCATCACATATAGCGCAAGAAAAACCCCCTGAAAGAAAAAAAAAACACTCTCTTTCCCTCTCCCTTCCCTCGTCCTTCGTCGTAGTCCGTGACCGAATCCGTCCGCGACTCAGACGTTCTTCTTGCGCGCCTCGTCGTACTCTTCGTCCACCTCGCTGTCCGCCCCGTACTCTCCCTCCTCTTCGCCTTCCTCGTCGCCGCCGCCGCCGGTCCGCATCCGCACCTGGTCCGACTTGCGCCTCCGATCCTTCATCGCCTCGCGGATCTTGCGGCTCGCCTCGTTGAACCCCTCGGCCGAGTCGAGCGTCGTGAAGCCGCTGATGGGAAACGCCCCGGACCCGAAGCCGCCGCCCGCGCTGCTCGACCGCGACCGGCTGCGCGACCGCGACGGCGGGCGCGTCGAGAAGATGCCAATCTTGCCAATGTTGCTGAACGAGTCGTTGCGCGGCAGCGCCCGGCTGGACTGCGTCGTGCTGCGCCGCGACAGCGCCGGCGGCGACTCCACCTCGGCCGCGAAGCCGGCGCCGCTGCTCGACTGGTCGCTGTCGGTCCGTCGGTGATGTCGAGGCCCGTCCGCCGTCTGCGCCCCCGCGCCCTCCACCTTGGACACGTCCGGCACCAGCCGCGTCTTGTCAAAGTCGGGAAACATCTCGGGCCCCAGCTCGTTGATCAGGTCCGTCACCTGCGCGCTCAGCTCCGCCCGCCGCACCCGCAGCTTGTGGATGTTGAACGTCGACGTCGGCACCAGGCACAGCACCAGCGGCCGCAGCGACTTGAAGATGTCCATGCCCACCTCGCCGAACCGCAGCGCCGCGAACGCGATGCCGATGAACACCGGCCACACCGCCAGGTACACGAGCCACAGCGGCACCCACCCGGGCACGTAACCCCACGCCCGGTCCTGCCACACCTTGAGCACCACCAGGATCGAGTACAGGTGGTACAGTGTCGGCGCGAGCCCCAGCGCCACCAGGATCTTCCACGTCGCCATCACGTCGCGCCCGCGGATCTTGACCGTCGAGCCCGCCAGCGCCGTCTTGGCCTTCTTGCGGCTGATGATCTTGGTCGCCACGAAGACGGGTGCGAACATGAGCAGCCCCGGCACCGTGCACAGGAACAGCACCAGCAGCTTGGCCGACCGGTACACGAACAGGAACAGCACCTTGAGGATCGACATCCGGCCGTACTGCACCTGGTGGTCCTTGAGGTTGAGGTACCGCAGCTGCGAGTTGTACTCCTTGACCGCCCCCGACAGCGCCGAGATGCGCTCGTCGTCCTTGTACCGCTCGTACCCCATGGCCAGCCGTCGGTTGAGCTCCACCACCACCGGCAGCGGCAGCTTCTTGCCCGTCGGGTTGTACAGCCTGCGCGCCGCCTGGATCATCATGAGCGTGTCGTAGTCGGGCGCCGACACCGTCACCGAGCTGAGCGCCTGGTACACCGTGTCCAGCACCTGCCCGATGGCCTCGCGCCGCTGGTTGTTGCGGTACAGCTCCACGAGGTGCTGCGGGATCTCAAACGGCGCCCCAAACTCCACCACGGCCCGCGACCGGAACTTGTGCGGGTGGAAGTAGTTCATGCCCACGGGCACGATCTTGAGCCCGCAGTTGGGCGACTCGGCCAGCGCCCCCAGCGCCATGATGGCCACGCCCGCCTTGAGCGGGAGCAGCTCGGTGCGGTCGTGGCTGCCGCCCTCGGGGAAGATGCCCACGCAGCCCCCGCTCCGCAGCCGCGCGAACACGGCCTCGTAGACGCTCGTCTGGTCGATGTGAGGCGCCAGCTTGTACTTTGTGCCCTCGAAGCCCGGCGCCGGGCCCTTGAGCTTGGTGTTGGTGAAGCGGCCCTCGGCGTCGACGTCGTCGCGCCCGGTGAGTTGCTGCATGGCCAGCCTGCCCTTGAAGGGCCGCTTGATGCGAACCTCCTCGGGGCCGATGATCTGCGCAATGTCGACGCTCGCGCCCGTGGTCTTCTTGCCCGGCGGGAGGAAGAGCATTCCCTGCACCTCTCCCTCTCCCTCGCCGAACTTGGTGCCCACGCCGCGGATCAGCGTCGGGTCGTTGATGGGGTCCGGCAGGTAGATCCGGCCTGTCGCCGGCTTGGCCGAGTCCTGCGCGCGCCCGACGGGCACGGAGCCGACCTGGCGGGAGCCCCAGCCGATGAAGCCGTGGACCGACTTTTGCGCGATGAGCAGCGACACCCGGCGGTTGGCCTCGTGCCGCAACGTGCGCTGGAGGATGAGCGCGTCGACAAACTACGCAGCAGAGACGGGTATGTCAGCAATCACAAGAATAATGCAGGCCTCGCACAGAGGGACTCGAGGCCGCGACATGGGCACACGACCATCACGGGTACGCGTTGAAGGGGGGCGCTCGCTCACCTGGTTCGCGTGCGGCGCGGCGACAAACAGCACCGGGCCTGACTGCGGAACCCGCCATGAACCCCGCGGCACGACCTCGCGGAAGAAGAGGTCGACGAGGTTGCCGATGACGTATAGAAACAGGTCGTACTTCCAGTTGACCATGGGATACAGCTCCTTCTTGTGCGCGCCCTCCTCGTCCTGTCGCCGCTGCAGCTCCTGTTGCCTCCGCAGGTTCTCCTCGTCCCCGGCCGCGGGGGCGCCGGCGGCCGGATCACCGCGTCGGCGCTCGTCCTGGGGCGCCATCGCGTGCCGCGTCAGACGGGCAGCCGGGCGATTGTTGGGAGGAGAGGGGTTGTCGGAGACGCGGTAGAGAGGCTGCTCTCTCTCACGCAGCTCGCGCTCTGCCTCGCTCTCGTGTTGGCCGAATGTCGATGATGCGCACGCTTTTTTTCCGGGGTCGGTTCCACGTCGACTATGCGGCAGCAGGGCCCCCGTTCGTCGCAAAAAGGGCTGGACGAAGCGTCGTCTAGGTGAGGGCGGGGAGGGGGAGAGACGGCGGGAATCGGCGAGCGGCTGTGTGCATGCGACAGACGCCCGGCGTCGAGGAGCTGAGCGCGGCTGCTATTTGTGGCGGCTTGAGGAGGCGACGTTGCTCATCCCAAGATAGGTAGGCTGGCTGGCCGGTTGGCTTGGTGTGCCGATGGGGATGGTTGGGCGGGTGGAATTGGGGGGGAGGCGGGGGCCGCTTTTTCTCCAGCTGTCGAGTCTGGCTGTCATTAGTGAGTGAGGGGTTGGTGGTTGGCGGGCAGCATGGGGCCTCAGCACCTGGCAGCGTCTATCCGCCGTCGATCCATCGTGCATTGAAAAGCTTCCGTGGGGCCATCAAATGCATGTCCACTGCCCGCTATCTCCAAGCATACATGTGAGGTGGTGCTGTGCTGTGCCCACTGTGTCCGCCCGCTGCGGTGCTCCGTAGGTTACCTTACCTTAGGCCCGAACTGACCTGAACCAGCGGGGCCGCTGGGCCGCTGGGCCGCCCGGCTTGTCACCCGCTGGGGCAGCCTCGGGCCTTGGAACCTCCATCCGTCCTAGCACAGGCTGGAAGCCCGCCGATATCCATCTCAAGCCCGTGCCGTGCCGTTTGCCATGGCTGTCAGGGCTATCAGCTTTTTTTTTCACCGAGATCAGACGGCCGGCCGAGGACACGGCAAAGCCGCCTGCCCCGTCCGGACGCACATCTCGGTGGCCTGTGACGCCGGCGGCTCGCCGCACGAGCACATGCAGCCGTGGCGCACCAACGCACCTCCATCTCAACAGAATTTTTCCCGCTCACCTGCATGTCTAGTGGCCCGCCCGGCCTGCCTCGTCCTCGGCGGCGGGCTGGCCGAGATACGACGACGGCGACGACGACATGCCTCGGACTTTTGCTTGCCTTGTTTGCCAAATTGTCAATTGCTTGCTGCTGACTGTAGATTGCGAAATGCGCGCTTCTGATCATGGATGGACTTGCATGACACACGCCATCCCCCCACTGACTTCGCCCACCGACTTCAACTCCACCTCCACCAGTGGGGGACGCCAGATGGGGTCGAGTTGCAAATGGTGGAAGCCATCCATCACTTCCTTCTCCTCCGACCCTTCTTCTCCGGCACGCTCGCGCTCCCTCCCGCCACCTCTCCCTCCTCCAGCTGGCCCTCCTGCTCCAGCTCCTTGAGCTTCTCCTGTCCGGATATGAACATGCTGAGGTCCCGGTTCATCTCCTTGAGCTCCGCGTTCTCCGTCTTGAGCTCCTCCAGCGTCTTGCGCACCGCCTCGCTGTCCGCGCCGAGATGCTCGATGCGCTTCAGCAGCCCCTCGTTCACCCGCTTCTCCTCCTGCAGCGACTTGCCCAGGTTGCGCGCCAGCGTCTCCGACTTGGTGGCTTTGTTCCGCTCGCGCTCCAGGTCGCGCTCGAGCTGCGGCACCGTGTCCGCGCTGAGCGTCTTGTACTTGTCCTCGAGGTCCTTGATCCGCTCCATCATCTTGGACGACTGCGCCGCGTTGCTCTCTGCTATCGCCGACGCCTTGGCGGCCTTGTCCACCGTCTTGCTGATCAGATCCTCGTAGTACGCGCGCTGGGATTCCAACTGACTCGTAATGAGATGGGTGTACTCCAGCCCGATGTTCTCGAGCTTGGCCCGCGGCACCACGTCCTCGTCCTCTCGCTGGCCACCGGGGTTGCCTCGCCCCGGCAGCTCGACGACTTTGCCGTCGCCCTTATCGCGGATGAGTCTGTGCACCCACATGTCGCCGGCGTAATCCCACACGTGCTGCGTCTCGAGCTCCAGGGCGAAGCAATGCGCCGTCTCTTTCCAGTGATCCTTGGCGTGACCGCCCTTATACCGGCCGCAACCGACGTAGCCGCAGATGAGGCAAATCCAGAGATCATCCGTGCAGTCACAGACGCTGCAAAGGTTCGAGGCTGAAGACCCAAACGGCTGCGAGTATGGATTGTCTGGGTCGCTTACAGACCCTTGTGAGGATGCGCTCGTGAAGCGGCACACCGGGCAGCCGGCGCCTTTCCAGTTCTGCAAGCAGCTGCAATGGAATACGTGAGAGCACGGAATGGTCATGAGCCCGTTGGTCTCGTCCATCCGCTCCAGACAGACGGGACACGTCGGCAGCTCGATGAGGTTCGGCGTCGGAGGCGGAAACGGCTTCAGGCTGCTGGACACGGTCGAGGATGAAGAACCTCCTGCGTTGTCGCTCCGGTGTGGGCGCGTTGGCGTCTCAAAAGTGATCGACTTGACAAACACCGCGTGACAGACCTGTGGCTGTCGGGTGCGTGAGCAGCTGGAACACAACGAGAATCCATTGGTACTACTCACCTCCATCGAGTTGAAGACCTTGCCATCAAACTCCTTCCTCCACTGCTTTGCCCTCTTGCCATCCCGAAACTTGAGCAGCACCAGGTAGCGGTTCATACGCGACGTCATCACCATCCGGCAGTGGCTGATATCGCCCATCCACCGATCACCCACGAAGCCCATGAAGTCGCCCGGTGTCATGTACGCCGGCACCGCCGGGATGCATAGAGTCGTGCACGAGTCCCCGCCCACCCCTTCATCTTCCTCGTAGATGTTCTGTTCTGGCGCGCTCAACGCCGAGGACTCGTCGCCTTCTCTATAGAAATGGACAACGCCCCAACCCAGTTCGGTGTTTCGGCCCTCGAGAGGCACAAACTCCGCCTTGGTCGCAGTGCCAGCGCCGCCATATGAAGGGCCGAGCGTCGGCGCCGCCACAGAACCAGCCCTGCTTGTCTCGCCGGCCATATCGTCTGGCGGCAGAGGATCAAAGGTCTCGAGGCTGACACGGCCAAACCGCCAGTCCTGAACCGCAGTCTGAGGTTTTATCGCGGCAGTCGACGGAGGCGGCGGGTAGCTCTTCGTCCGCTCGAGCCACTGCCTCTCGGGCACGACCTCCACCGTCCGTCTGTCGTCGTGGTCGGGCGCTCGCGAGTCTCCGCAGTCGATGACGCCGTGCGCCGACGTTCGCCGTATGCTCTCCTCGGCCAAAGGAGCCGCAGTCGCTGGTCCGTCACCAAACTTGTAGCTGTTGAGCCGAGGGATCACTCTTGAGGTCGGTCGATCTCGGCGCGGGTGCGATGGAAAGTCGTCAAAGACCGACGCGTCGTTGTTTGGCAGATAGATGTCTCTGCTCTGCTGCGCGGGCGCTTCCGGGCGACCCGTGGGATTTGGCGTAGGGTATAGCTCGAATTTCAGGTGATAAAAGTAGGAAGGCATGGCCTCGAGCCGTCTCTAACAAGGCCGTGAGTCGCCGCGCGAGTAGTGGTTCGCGAACGTTTGCCGAGATTATGACGGTGGCAACGCGCTGATGAAGAGGCCAGGTGGCGAATGATGCGCTCAAGACTCACGGCGGAAGCAAACTTTCTTCCAGAAAGCTCCGTCTTGCAAGAGGGCTGTGCCGGGATCGCATGGCTGCCTCGTGCGCGGTCAAGGTAGGAAAGAAGCAACAAAGCGTGGAGGGACGGGAATGATGAAGGGCATTTGGCGGGGCATTCAGCAGCCGTCAGTGGATCTACAACTATCAGCCTGGTGGAACGCACTTGTACGACCCACCTCGTCAGCGCCCGGTGACGCATCGTAGATCGTCAGCAGCTCCACGAGCAGTCTGTTCCCCATGGGCGACTCTTTCACACATACACAACAGACGGTAAATCATTTGACTGGTAACAGTCTGTATTGGCGTGCCCCAAGAAGGGTACACGCAAGCTATGCTAACCCGACATCAATGCGGCCGAAGCCAAGCATGCCCGACTCCAGATCCGAAAGACCATGATAACGCCGCTCCGCTGGTATTCCCAGCGCAAGTCATGAAACCCAAAGATAGCCACTACTCGCGCGCCTACTGGCCGCCACGAAGACGCAGAACGAGATGCAGGGTGCTCTCCTTCTGAATGTTGTAGTCGCTGAGGGTGCGGCCGTCTTCCAGTTGCTTGCCGGCAAAGATGAGACGCTGCTGGTCCGGAGGGATACCCTCCTTGTCCTGGATCTTGGACTTGACGTTGTCAATAGTATCGCTGGATTCCACCTCCAACGTGATCGTCTTGCCCGTCAACGTCTTGACGAAAATCTGCATACCACCACGCAGGCGGAGCACCAAGTGCAGGGTCGACTCCTTCTGGATGTTGTAGTCGCTCAGGGTCCGTCCGTCCTCGAGCTGCTTGCCGGCAAAGATAAGGCGCTGCTGGTCAGGAGGGATGCCCTCCTTATCCTGGATCTTTGACTTGACGTTGTCGATCGTGTCAGATGACTCGACCTCCAGCGTAATCGTCTTTCCGGTCAAGGTCTTGACGAAGATCTGCATGCCACCACGGAGACGAAGGACGAGATGGAGGGTCGACTCCTTCTGGATGTTGTAGTCGGACAGGGTACGGCCATCCTCGAGCTGCTTGCCTGCGAAAATCAGGCGCTGCTGGTCCGGAGGGATGCCCTCCTTGTCCTGAATCTTCGACTTGACGTTGTCGATGGTGTCGGAAGACTCCACCTCGAGGGTGATGGTCTTTCCAGTCAGGGTCTTGACGACTGTGTATTGTCAGTGGTCGGTTCAGCGGATCTAGTAGGGATGGTTTGAACATACAGATTTGCATACCGCCACGGAGGCGGAGGACGAGATGGAGCGTGGACTCCTTCTGAATGTTGTAATCAGACAGGGTGCGGCCATCCTCGAGCTGCTTGCCTGCGAAAATCAGGCGCTGCTGGTCCGGAGGGATGCCCTCCTTGTCCTGAATCTTCGACTTGACATTGTCGATAGTGTCGGACGACTCCACCTCGAGGGTGATGGTCTTGCCGGTGACTGCATGCCAAGTTAGCCATGTCGTTCGCGGGCGGACGAGCCGGAGATGAGGCAGCGGGGTTACTCACGGGTCTTGACGAAGATCTGCATGATGACAGGTTCGCGCGGATATCGCTGTGGGAGATGATGAGAAGAGTTGTGCGATGCGGAGAGGAGTCCCGAGGCGGCCAAGAAGCGCGGTTGGGATTTGGTGCGAGAGAGAGGTTTGCAGGAGGAAGAGAGGGCGGCGTTGGCGAACGGCGGGAGGAGACCGTTTATGTATGACACAGGTGGGAGGCGACGGGATGGAAGGCCGAGGGGGGAGCGAGAGGAGGGGGCGCAGTGACTGGGCGAACGCGGTTGGCTTGGGGTGGCCGATTACGCCTGCGTCAGGCGTGGCCAGGGAGGCGGCGCATGATTCATCAGCCAATAGCGCGGGGTGATGCCTGTCCGAAGGCTCCAGAACCAGCCGCCGGTTCCCTGTGGCCAGCGCCCTGTTCAGTGAGTGCGTGCCTGCGCGGCCCAGGCGCAGGTGGGAGGTTGTTTCCGGTACGGCGCCGGACGCAGCGCGGGAGGTGAGACACGCCGTACTGGGGACTTGGGCCTGCGGGCACTGATACCGTCCTGCCGGGGTTGCCTGTGGCGCATGAGCGCCCAAAAAGCGGGGCCCGACTTGCGCCGACCTGGCATCCTGGACGAAGAGTCCCGGATGCAGTCATCAGGAAGCCCGTGAATAATCCGACCCTGGCAGCCCGGCGACGCCGCCGAAGCACATGGAACGTGGCCATCCGCGCAGGAATTTTCTGCTCTCGATTTTTTTGCCGGAGCCGTCATTGTTCTTTGCCTTTGTTTACTCTCTTGTCTGGCAGGCCAGAGTGCATCGCGCTATCAAGGTCCACGTTCGCCACATCGCACGATGATGAGCTGGCCGGCTTGTGGGGAAAGGGCGAGGCTGGTGCGCGGCCTGTGGCGCCGCCTGTCCGCGTGGTGAGGACCCGTCTCCACCGGGCAGTCCTCCAGCGCGCCCGCGCGCCGTTGCAGCGAGCGAGCTGGCTGGCGCGGACAATCTGCCCCGAGCACACCACCGTTTTGGCTCAGCACGCCAGCGACACAACGCCCAGCGCCCACCCGCAAGAGGGAAATCTCGCCCTGCCATAGCGGCGGTGCACCCTCAGTCCTACTGCGCCATCTCTCGCCGTCGTCGTCAAGTCTCACGGCTCGCCCTTGAATCTCGCGGCCGCGAAACCCGCCAGCGCGTCAGCAAAGAGCCCAGCTGTGAGACGCGAGAAGCGGGGTGCCCGAGACCGCCGCCCACAACCCGCGCGACGGGCCGGAGGTGCCCCCCGGTGCGACGACGTCATCTGCGCAGGGGGTTGCGTTTCGGCGACTGCGACGTCGCCAGGACCGGGCTCGCACCCTGCCACCTGGGTTCGTCGCCTGACGCGCGACGCGCCGGTAAAGATGCCTCGTTGCCGGCCGCGCGAGCTCTGGCCATCGATGACAAACGCGGCATCTGCTCTTGTTCGCCTCTTTGTGTAACTGCAAGTTGGTTGACCCGTTAGCTCGTCGCGGGGGAGGGGCCAACCAAGTGGGACGCTGTCGACACCCTCATCGTAGCCCCGATGTTAGTGCCCGAGGCATGTTGCAGCAAGCCAACATACCGTCACACTCAAGGCAAAGCAACATCGACTTCAATCGCGCAGAAAAGCTGTATTTGCCAGCGACGGCCGTCAACAGTACCTAGAATGCCTCGACATGCCGCGAATCAATGACGCAACCAAGCTGTGCCCCTTGAATCCAAACCTCCCCGCTTCTACTGTCAAGGCAATGCTAGTCGTCGTCCCGCTCAACAGACCTCCTATGCGCGTTCGTCTAAGCTGCAAAAGTCATGCTGATCTTTCGTCTCCCATAAGGCGTGAAACATGATCCTCCTCTGCTGCGTGAAAATGACAGATCGCTTTCCCTTTTGTTGCCTCTGCCAAGAGGGCGTGTCCCGTGTCTCCAGATATGATGCCACCGTTAATCAATAAATGCGTCTTCTTCAAGTCATACATCGTTGGGTAAGCTGAAAAGAGTTCGTTACAGGGTCGTCACACATTTGTGTCAGGTAACTTCATGCCGTACGCGCGGTGACCAGCCGCCAGCGGAGAATGTTAAAATGGTTTTCGAGGCCCGACGGGTCCGATTCCGACAACTGGGATCGCGTCGCTTGCGTAGAGTCGTATCGGACGCCTTCGCTGGATGACCGAGGAGAGGCGGTCCAGCTCCGACGGTCCAGCCGGGCGTCTAACAAAGGAGAGGAAGGCCGCCACAAGGCGAGCCAGGTATTAAACATGCATGCAATATCATGGGGTATCATGCGACAGAGAAACTTCTCAGTTGGCGCGGATGACCAGCTTGGACAGGAACTTGTTCGACAGCGAGTCAAAGTCGTAACGGTCAAACTTGCTCTCCTTGCGGGTTCGCAGGTACGCCTCTGCATGCCACAGTTAGCGGTGGTGTTCAACGTCTCCTAGGAAAGGACGGCTACTTACCATGCTTGATAACATGTTGTCGAACCTCAGTCATGGCCTCGCATACCGAGGTGTTGTTGTGCAACAGGTGCCCATGCTGGCGGGTGTCCCAGTCGGTGAAGGCGGGCAGCTTCTGCGAGATAGCATGGAAGAGGCCCACAATCACTCCGACGGGGGTCGTCTCCATGTCGTTACAGAACTTGTTCACCGCCGCCGGGTCGGGCACACGGTAGTGGCAGTCAAACTGCATCTCCTCCCAGACCGCGAGCAGGATGGATGCGAGCATGAAGATGGTAGGCCAGTTCTTCATCTTCTCGCCGCTGTATACGCCAGAGTACAGAGAAGAGAGCTCCTCAAGGATGTCCTTTTGCAGCTCTCTCCACATGTCCGCAAGCGCACACTTGATCTGGAAGTTGATCATGACCGGCGCAACAGTGCGGCCGTAAAACTTGGAGTCCTCGTCATCAATCTGGCCATCGAGATTGACCTCGGACCCCTGGTTCTCCACCATGGTGATGTGCATGGTCAAGTTGTACGCCAGCACGAGCTTGAGCGCCTTCTTGATCACAGGCATACCCTCCTTGACGTAGAACCGGTGAGCAGTCTTGAGGATCTCCGTGATGAAGGGAGTGCCCTCAAAGTGGTCGTCGATGAAGTCCTCAAACGGCCCATCGATGTGCTTGTCGAGGTACTCGGCAAGAGCATCGATGCGAACGCCCTCGGCTCCGACATCAAGCTTCTCGGTACGGGTCTCAAAGTCGATGGGGTCCTGGTCAGGTTGGGTTGACTCGACCCATTCGACGGAGAAGCATCCGTCATCCGCGACGTACACCTCGCGGACCATGACGGGCAGGGCAAACCCATAGCCGTGCGTGATCCACATGAGGCTCTCCTTTTGAGAGAAACCTTTGACATTGTACACGGAGACGCCAAGGTCCATGTGCCTCTCGTAGTCGGCCTTCCAGTCCTTCATGAAGTAGCCAATGTCCTTGATATCAATGCGAGTGCATGGCACCTGCCAGAGGCGGGCGTGGGACGGCTGGCAACCGGCGCAAGGCTCACCCTTGTCGCAAGTCTTCTTCAGGAACTTGCAACGCAGGCAAGCTCTCAACTTCCTGATCTCACTAGCTTGCTTACGCTGCTCGGGCAGAAGGGGTCCTTTTCTCCGGCCAACCTTCTTCTCCACAGTGCCATCCTTCTTGCCGTTGGACGTGCGGCGCACAATGGTCTTGGTTGTCTTGGTGATGGGGCTCTTGCGGGGTCCCGAGTTCCGCCGCGAAGAGGACGACGGCGGTGATGTTGACCCAGCACCGCTGCCAGGGCTGTGGCGGCTGGCGGCGACGGACTCAACCTTGATAGGCACGGGGGCGACGGCAGCAGCTGGGCTGACGTTGTCATGAGAATGGCTATGACCGTCACTGGAAAAGCAGTTTCGGTGGCTGTGGCTGTCCTGGTAACCATCCGAATCCGGGGAGAAGGGAGAATAGGGGAAGGGCGGGATCTCCTCGAAACTTCCGAATTCAAGCGAGTTGGCGCCGTCAGACGAGTCCGAGTTGGTCCGCAGGTGGAGCGTTTGGGACGGGTTGAAGATGGCTGCGTTCTGAGCCTGTTGGAACTGATCGAGATTGTGGTGGTGACTCCAGTCCACCATGGCCCATCCATCCCCGGACGATGAGGGCAGCGAGAGGACCTCCAGGTACGTCCCGGTGGGCGAGTTGCTGCCGACGCTGCCGAGCCGGGGGAGACCATCCATCTGCAGCGTGTTCTGGAACTCCTGCCAATTGTCCATGCCTGCATTGCCCCAATGCATCGCCTGAGCCGTCTCCTCCATCGAGGGCATGGTGCCAAAGGTGGACTCCAAGAGGTTAGCCTGAAGCGCGGCCTGCGTAGAGGGGGGCAGGTAGTCGAGTGGGTTGGGCGGGAAGTTGGGCGGGAAGGCGTTAAAGTTCATCAACGTCGACTCGTGAAGGAACTGCGCCAGGTCTGCAGCGGGCAATTGCTGTTGCTGCTGCTGCTGCTGTTGCTGCTGTTGCTGCTGTTGTTGCTGTTGCTGTTGGTGCTGCTGTTGCTGTTGCTGGAGAGCCCAATCGGTGAGGGGGTTGGTCGACGGCTCAAAGGGCGAATGATGCAACGACGAGTGCTGGCTGTGAGGGCTTGACGAGCTGGACAGCGGCGACGTCCCCTTGCGGTCCACGGGGGAGCTGGCCTGGGGGCTCGTGGTCGCGGTCGCCATGCCGAGCGGTATGGGCCAGGTTCTTGAGTTGGCCATGATGGCGGACGAGGCGGCGGCGTGGGACGTCGAGGTGGCCGTGTAAGCGTAGGCGGCCGTGCGGTCCCGATGGTGCTGGTCGAAGGTGAGGTCTAGCAAGGCATCATTTCCGCCATTTGCACTGCCAAAATCGAAGCTCATGCTTGGGGAGAGGCGGGAGAGACCGAGGGGAGAGAGGGCGAGTGGCTGTCGAATGCGAGGCCTGGCGATATTGTATCAAGGCGAGCCCGTGACACCGCTCTTTCGTTGCAGGGCCGGTGCAAGAACTGGACGGGAGGTGTACGAAGTAGGAAACGAGGAAGACGGGGCACGAACGGGGCGGGAGTGGTTTTCGCAGGGCCGACCAGCAGCAGAACAGCCCGTGGCGCCGCAGCAGTGACCTGACGACAGCGAAGCTGGTGTGGGCTGTGGGATGGAATGGATGTCGATGGAGAGAGCCTGCGGACAGGCCCGAGTGAGGGGGTTGAAGGAAGAAGCGGTGAGCGCGCGCCCAGCCCCAAGCCCGGGATCTGCAGCCAATGGCGGCCTGCCAAAGCGCCTGAGTATCTGCACACCTGTGGAGCTTAGGTCGGGCGATCCAGCGGGCCCGGTGCGCTGTGGGCGGAGGAGTCTTGGGGGTTAGTCCGCCCAATCAGTGGCCTGGCGGCGGGCCGTGGAGGGCGGCCTGGCCGGGATCCAGAGGGTAAGTACCAGCCTGGGCCTCCCTGCCACGGGCGGGCGCACAGTGCACACACGTCTCGTTTGTCTTCCTCCTCCTCCCCCTCCCACCACCTCGGGGTTCTGTCTGGTCTCGTCTCGCCATGAAGAGTGAGTGACCAACCACGTCGCCATATCTCGGGCCGTTTTGGGCGCAAATACCCACTGCCATTCGACTGCCGCCGCGGGTCGCACAGACACCCCTCGCCTCACAGGCCTCTCTGCCTTCAAAGGTTGCTTTTTCCCGCTGGCTATGGCGGTGCTTTTCCCACGACTTCTTCTCCGGTGCGGTGCAGCGCGGTGCCATGCAAAGCGGCTGCGCTGCGTTGTGCACGACATCCACATGATCGAGCCTCGCATCGCCTGCATGGCTGCCCTACAGGGGCGGACGAGCATCACGCACATGAACGAGGCAACGATGGGTTCGTCTGCGGGATGTGAGGCATGCGGGGATCCGGATCGTGGGGACGGGTTTGAACTCAGCCGCGGCCGCCCTTGAGGTCGCAAGCGCGCTCTGCGTTTGGCTTCAGCATGTCAGGCAAGATTGCCATGATACCTGATGCCCTACGTACTGTAGCACGCGGTCGATACGAGCGAGCTGCTCCGGACAGCAGCAGCGGCAGCACCTGGACGTCGATCCTTGGCATCGCGAATATCAGATCAGATCCGGCCTCGCCAGCGGGCTCGCTGCTCGCTGCTCGCCGTCGCCACCCATCCGGACAAATCGCCCGCCAAGCAGGTGGCAGGGCCAAAGCCAACGGGGACCGATCTGTGTCCTAGATTGGCGTGGAGCGCCCACGGACCCTTCCACGCACATCCAGATCCGTGCCCGGGGCCGGCCCCAGCAGACGATGCCAATAGTAATATTATCCCGCCGTAATATCGGCAATCTGCTGCAGTCCTGGTCCTCGACGATGGCAAGGGCTCCGCCGGGGGGCATGCACGTGTGCGTGCCGATGACGAAGGACGCAGACGCAGCCGGCGGCATTGTGCGTGGCGACGGCATGATGCTCGCTCGCGTCTCATTGTGAGTGAACGAAGGGCCTTGGTCTGGGCACTCGTATGCGCCTCCAGCTGCAACCCGCCCGCGGCCGCCGTACCACCGACTGGGACGGCGACAGTGTCCAGCCGGTAAGGAATCAAGGTTCCGGGCCCAGCCGCAAAGCCAGCCGCCACCCACCGGTGCCTCGCCGTGCCCCAAGCTCGGCGCCCCGCACTGTGTCACGACAGCCAGCCCAGCCATGGAGCCAGCCGAGTGACGGACGCACGGCACGGGGCCTGCCCGGGCTGCTGCTGCTGCTGCTGCTGCTGCGATACAGAACCCGCGAGGACCCTGCCTGCCCGGCCCTGCTAGCTTATCGGCTCGTCGACTCTCACATCCACTCCATCCCACTCCATCCCACTCCATCGTCCACTCCGCGCCCGCCCGCGAGCAGAAAAAAGAAAGAGGCTGAACACGACATGTTGGTCCCCCCACCCCGCACCCGCCCGCCCGCGACGCGTACCTACATGAATGCAGCCGTTCCGAGCTGCCTTCCTTCCGACGCGGGCATCGATCTCTTGCTGCCCAGAGCACGGCCGCTCGTACGAGCACTCATCCTCCTTACGGAGCACCAGGGCCCTACCCGGCCGGCTGCCTGCCTCGGCTGGACTGGACGAGGATGGACGCCGTATCAAGTCGGGGCAGAATAGAACCGCCTCGCTGGCAGCGGGCGTTGGCTGGCCTCACGCGCCGTTTTCCTTGGAGCGCCTCAACGCCTCAACGGCCAGTCACCTGGACCGCCTGACCACCAACCATGCCCCCTGCATTCGACCGCGCTCCGAGTGGTCGACGCCGGGCCGCCACCATTGCCGGCCGCTGCACCAACAAGGCGATTTTTGCAGGCCACATCCCGGACTGCCAGCGCACCAGTTTGTCAGATTTCATGGTTGTGTCTAGGCTTGGTTGACTCGCCGTGCGTCACGATGGCTCGCCCGCTCGCTCGCTTTGCCCCGCGGGAGGCACAGGCACACACGCTCGCCAGATTTCTCTCTTCGTCAAGGCGCCGGTCTGAGCTCGTGCGGTTCGTCAAGGCGGAATCGCTGCGGGTCAGAGGCCGAGTCTGTCGAATCGTTTTTTCCCGGTCTGCGGAAACCAACGTCGCAGGCGCAATGGCCCATGTGTCAACTGCGAGCACCCGGGTTTGGGGGGGG